CTTGGTTTGGCTTGGCGGCTTACATGGCCGCAGGACGATCTAAGTAACAGAGACTATTCATGCGTTTCAATTTTCAATACACCAACGGAACGGAACAAAAAAAAAAAAAAACAACAACAGCAACAACAACAACAACAAAGAGGAAAAAGAAAAACACACGTTACATTTTAAAGCGTTTGCAAAAAAGTTGTATCTCCATGGCAGATTGGGGAAAATTGGTATGCTCGTGCTCCAGCTCCGGCTCCGACTCTCAGTGCGGCTCATATGCCCTTCAGGCAGCATCAGCATCTGTTAAATGGCGCGATGGGTTGCCACATATCAATGGATATGGAATAGCGTGCCAATTATGTTGGAGCTATTTACCCGGGATAGCATCTCCGGACCAAATACGGGCATGCACGAATATTGCCACTGGGCTGATGGAAAATTTCGATTACCTTCGATTGCGATGTCAGCTACAAACTTTCAATATTGAATTCCACTGCATGACTCCACTGCCATTTGAAGGCAAAAAAAAAAAAAATGGCACGTGTGTCAAATACTGGGAAATGAAAGCAAATTACATACAGATAGGAATATGTAAATACCTTTTATGGAATGAGTTGTTTTACCCAATGGATGACCCCTTCCCCGATAGGAGGGACTCGCTGTTTTAATTACATTTCATTTACAGAAATGTTTATGTTATTTATTATTGTTATTGTGCAAAAAATAATAACATCAAAGGTTTTGATGACCCTTTCCTCTGAGGGGTGATGTACATTTTATTTTATAAGAATCTTTAAGAGTTAATTCCTGTAAAGTTTAAAATGAGAATAAAATATTCGAAAAGTATTCTTGAAACAGTATTTATTGATAGTTATATGCATTCGAGTATAATATACTTATGTGTAAAATTTATTTCTAATCTGTGAAATTCAAATTCAAAATTTAGAGAAATTAAATTCAATTGTTTTGCATTAGGAATACACATTTTACACCGTCAAGAAAAGAGGGTATTTTTATATTTAGTTGAGAAATTATAGAATCTTTTCAAATTGCAAGATTTTATTTTAAAAATTATTTGATTAATATTTATATTTATATAGTTTTTTCGAGTATACTCGTATGTGTAAAATTTATATTTAATGAGTTAAAATGAATTTCAAAACATAGAGCAATTAAGTTAAATTATTTTGCATTAGGAATAAGCATTTTACACCGACAAGAAGGCATTTTTATATTGGCTCAATTGTTCCTTACTTCTTTTGAGGTGTTCTGGAAATTTTTCTGCATATCTTTCCTCCTGGGTATGTCCAACATTTTCATATGAATTAGTAATATACGAGCAATTTGATAATATTCAGCTAACACCTCACTGATGCTATGATATATGTCTTGGGCATAAATTGATCAAGCAATTAAACAGTTTTAAATATGTTATCTAATTCAGCAAACACATGAAGCAAACTGCTTAACAAAGTCTATATATGCTGAATTTTATCACATTCAGAAATGGGTTTAGAGAAATATTATATCAAAAAACTTTCAAAAGCACAACAACTTATACCCTGCACCCGAAGGTTAGAAAAGTTGCAAAGGGTTTGCGAAAGCACCTCCGATCCCATAAAGTATAAATATTCCTTATCAGCATGACGAAAAAAATTGATACAGCCATGTCTGTTTGACTGGATGAACGCCTAGATTTCGGAAACGGCTAAGCCCACATTAACCAAACTTTGTATGTAGACTCCTTTTTTCATAAAGCAACACAAGTTTATTTTATTTTTTGGATTCCCCGCTCTTCTTCTTCTTTATGCTTTGCAATGAGAAGTTTTTTGTAGAGTATTGTACTGGCGGAATTGCTCGACTGTAGCATTCTCTCATGTTGTTATAGGCTTTTGTTTGAATGATATTCGTATCTCTAAGAATTAGGCGACTAAATCCAATAAGATAAGATCTCAGCCACTTGCGTCACTAGCTTTATGCAAGGCAGATAATTAAAGCAAGCAGATTGTTATTTTTTTAACATTTTGTTATCCGAAATAACAAAAAAACAAACATCGGGCTTAATATCGAACCCAAACTGAGTAATCTGTTCCTTAACAATTGGATAACTAGGATTAACAATAAGTATTTTATCTTTAGGATTTTATATACTAGCTGTTTTTATTGACTCATGCTTTATTTAATCTCTCGGGCATATATATAGTATGTACATATGTAGATGTGGATTAGATAAATTAGATAAATAAATATAATTAATTATCAGTACTTGTAAAGTACAATCAAGTTTTAGTGTTAAAGCCAAAAGTATTATAAGATGCTTGCCAGGCCTTTTTCCGCTTGTTACGTCCATAATCCCACTTTTAAATAAAGCTACCGAGGAAGAAAAAATTGCTTTAAAAGAGTTAATTTTATTGAAAAATGGAGCGTATGTTGTTTTACAAAAAATACAAAATTACAGAGAAGGGAGTATCTGATTAAAGTAAAATGTACTAACTCATCCATCACATTCTCAAATGGGTTATAACCCATCCATCAAATTCTACAAGTTTGGCACTTTTCATGTTTTCGAAACAAAAAGCAATACTTAAGTAGTTGCAAAAGATTTGTGCAGAACGAGAAGGGTTTCAATGCAGTAATTATAATTGTAAGACCGTGGGACAAATAAAATGAAACTTAAACTATTTCTCGAAACTTCAATAATGCACAAATCTGCTGAGATCAAGAGAGTAGAGACGCGTAAGCTTACTGGGCCCACCCTGGTACCGTTCACTTGCCCCAGCGGCATCCTAATCGCTGGATTTCAACAATTTAATCTCCTCCTTTGTTGCCGTGAATGTTCGTGGTGGCGTCGGCAAAGTGCAAAAGTTTTCCATTGTAATAAATATTTTAATTTTGAACTGGAACAATTAACCCAAAGCACATATTGACGCACACACACATATATGGGAGTATGTGGCACACACACACACACACATACACAGCAAGTCATTTATGTGTGGCAAAGGAGCGATGTAGTCATGGCAATTGTAATCAGAAAACCCCTTTGTGAGGCATTCCAAAGGGCTGGGAACCCACAACGCCCACCGCACTCGAAGCCGAAGTGTGTAACGGTGTATGAACATTATGAACTTAAGCTCGGTACAAACAACAACAACAACAATACAAGCAACGGCAGCAACAATAAACAACAACAATAAAGAGCATTGGTAAGTAAGCATCTTAGACACATGCCAAGCGGGAAAAGTTGAAGAAATGTTCCCGAAAAAGTTTTCTGTGCGTCGCATTTAAATGATTTTGCATAATTCAATGGAAAAACATTTTGAGGCAGGAAGGAAGCGGCAGGAAGGGCAGCAACGGTGGAACAGGAGCTGCAAACAAAAGTAAACTTTCTGTTAGACTGACAGAATCTCTTCGGACATGGAAACAGAACCAGTATCGGGACTAGGACCGGTCCCAGGGCCAAACGAAAAAGGTAGAGTTTTGTGAGCGCCTGCTGTAATATATTTTCTTTAATTGCGCACAATTAATCCTTTTTATGAGTGTTGCTTCTTCTGCTTGTTTTTCCCCCTCCCTCTACTACATAGGTGAGAAGAAAGGAAGGAAGGAAGGGAGGGAGGGAGGCAGGAAGGAAGGGGCTGCCAAAGTTTGTTGCCTCCGGGGTAGGATGTCTGCATGGGGCAGTGGTCTGAGGGTTGTGCACTGTTCTATGAGCTGAAAAATATACAAAAGGCTTAATTATAAAAGTCAACACACGGAGCTCGTTGCACACACTTATACGCAGACAGTTGCCACTTAATGTCATCAACTCGATGAACAAAAAATCTACTCCCGTTCGTCCTCATTCAAAATTCGTATGTAATTAAAATAAAATCCCTTTTTTACGACCGATGTGTACGGCAAAGATTTTTACGCTTATTTGTTGACAGAAAAGAAAAAAAATACAAAAAAGCAAAAACAAGGAAGAAAACAAAACAGAACAAAAAAGTTCCAAACGTACCGGAAAATAAAATGTGATAAGTTTTTATAACACACTTTTTTGTTAATTCCGCTAAGAATAAAAAGGACTTGGCAGGCTCTACAAATATTTACACGAACCTATGTACATACATACGAGTATACGTCTATCTGCCGGTATACAAGGCTGGGCTAGCTACAGGCAGACATTATTTCTGTTACATAATACAGCTTTACCTTTTTTGTTTCATTATTCAGGGGGGTAAATAAATAACGTAGATAAACAGAGGGCGGGTAGATAAGTAACAATAACAACTTCGTAATTGATATTCTAAAGAATATTAATTTGAAACATTTTTCGAGATCTTAATGCCGGCACTTTCTATGAATTAATATAAGAACATACATAGTAGGTTAATGTTACTTACTATAGATGGACTGGATTATAAACTCTAATAAATATATAAAATATTAAATATTTTCCGAATTAAGTCAGCAGTATAGAGTTTTTGGAGTCTTTTAAATACTGCTCTGATAGAAATCGCCAAGTAAATGTTTCTCTTCAATTGATACCTCCTGAAGTGCTTCTTAATTTATTACCCCATTTGTAAATATAGAGTTTTATTCATTCGGTCGTTCCCCAGTGTAAATGTATGGTTTCATAAGAAATAAATTGGCTGTGTAATAATAATTAACCTAAATTAATAATTTTAAAATGCCTTTATTAAAAGTTTTACTTATAGTATGTTAACTAAGCATTTTAGTTTTCTTCAAATTTTTGTAAATTTGTCCCATAAGTGGGAAAAATTTGATTAAAATTTATTTGAAAAAATATATGGATATATGTATTTATTTAGTTTATTCATTTATTTCTATTTCTTCTACTTCTACTTCTTCTTTTAAGGACTGCTCTGATAGAAATCGACAAGTAAATGTTTCTCTTGAATTGATACCTCCTGAAGTGCTTCTTAATTTGTTACCCCATTTGTTAATATAGAGTTTTATTCATTCGGTCATTCACCAATGTAAATGTAAGGTTTAATAATAATTGACTTAAGTTAAAATTTTTAAAATGCCTTTATTGAAAGTTGCAATTAAGTTAACAAAATGCTTTTTTTTCTTCAAATTTTGGTAAATTTGTCCCATAAGTGGGTTAAAATTGTGATGAAAAATTTCCTGCAAAAATAATAAAAAAAAAATCAGACATTAATTTAACTTATTAATTTTTCTATTTCTTCTACTGTTACTGTTTTAAAATCTGAGCCTGTTTGGGGGCAGTACTAATTGAGCAGAAAGCAACAACAAATTGATCTTAGCAGTGAATATAGGCGTCGAACTGAACTGTGAATGATTATAAAAAGTACGTACATGTATGTGTATGTACATGAATTTGCAATTGTCCCTTGTCTCCCAGCCACGACAACGTCCACGTCCACGGTCGTTACCACTTTTAATTATTGTCCGCTTTTATTGCAGTCCACAGATAACGTCCGCCTGAGCCTGTCACATCAACGTAGTCATCGTCACCAGCAGTGGAGCACGGCAGGACCAGGAACAGTGGCAGGGGGAGGAGCAGAGGTCACATTGGCAACGTCAGCAGCAGCATCAGCATCAGCTGGCGATTAACTTTTCAAATGCAACCCTTTTCACGCCGCTGGCGATATGCTAATGATGGCCATGGTGGCCACCATTTGCTGCCCATGGGCGCACGTTGTTCATTTTTGTGTTTTATTATTTTCCACTCCACTCCTCGCCTCTACTTGTGCTTTTTTTGCATTTGCCTTTGCTTTTATTATTTTCAAGTTTAATTAACTTTTGTGTTGTTTCCAGCGCAAGGAGCGCACATAAATTTCGGCTATTGCCTGTGGCCCTTTTGGCTTTTAAATGAAGACGACGAGTGTTGCTGAACAGACTGAACAGTATTCGTATTCGTAGCCGTATTCGGGCAACAGCACTGCAGATGATTTTGAAGTTGATGCGAAATTTGATACGTTTTCTGGGGCCACAAATTCGCCATACTTCGGCCATAAACTTGTGATGGATATGCCTAGTGGAAATAACTTGATTACATGCTGTAGGCAGAATGATAGATGCGTCACTTAGGCTCGAGCCCAAACAACAAATGTGGCCAGCCGAACGAAATTGGAAGCTGCCGGAAACAGGCAGAGCACCAGCACATCACAGGCTTGATTTCTAGGAATTTGGAAGCGATAGGTGGAGTGAAAAGGAAACCGGACTGCGCTTTTTTTTAAAGTCTTTCTTCTTAGCCAAGTTTGTTAAATAGTTCATTGAATTTCAAAGAGATTTAATGCTATTGCTTTCATTAAATAACAAATACAAATCATTCAAGTGAAACTTTTCAATATACTTATTATCTTCACTCGCTCACTTCTTCTTAGCGAAATAAGGATTGTTTGCATTTGTGTCAAGATAGAATATTTTAAGTTTAGAGTCCCAGTTTTGAAACTTCAAAGGAACCATTTTTCAGTGAAGGGACGACATTGTTGTTATGTTTGGATGGGATAGTTTTTTCTTAGCTTACGACCTCATTCGCCAAAATAATAATTTAGATTTGACAAATTGTGCTAAAATTTAAAAGAATACATTTCACGTACAGAGTTTAAAGACAAGAGAATAAAATTACCGGACTTCGATTCTAATGTTTTCAACTGTTTCAAAAAGTACTTAATTAGTCAAAACAAGTAAAAAAAGTCGGGTGTCCCGACTTCGAAATACTCTGTACATATGTTTAAAATAATTATAGAAATTAAAACAAGAGAGAACGCTACAGTCGAGCAAGCCCGACAGTGTAATACCCTGTACCCAGGTAAACTTCCGTCACTGAGTTATATGCGCCCATAGCAGCAGCAAAAAGAGGAAGAAGAAGAGCGAACTTGTTGCTGCAGTTTGTGGGGGTTGTACTGGCGAGAATTTGTTTCGCTAATAACTTTTCTTTGAATTGACCGAATTTAATAAAATTTTAAACAACAGTAGATAATTATATAGAAATTATGTGTGCAAAGTTTAGTTTAGGTAGCATTTGAAATGTGGACGCTATTCGACGAAATTCTGTAGCGGGGGAAGGGGGGGAATTCCCAAAAATAAAATAAACTCGTCCTTTCTCGGACCTAGGAGAATCTGGATGCCAACTATGGTTATTCCAGTTTTTATAGTTTCTGAGATCCTCGCGTTCATCCAGACGGACGGACAGACGGACGGACATGTCTAGATCGATTTCTCTCGTCATGCTGATCAAGAATATATATATACCTTATGGGGTCGGAGATGCTTCCTTCTGCAGGGTATAAAAATTAAGAAAATTTAAAAAAATTTGGATCGATTTTACCTCTTTCGTTATTCGAACTCACGTAAAGGGTGTATAATTGCACATATACAAAGCAATTGCGTCTATGTGAGTGTATGAATGCCTATGCGCATCTATTCGTGTCTGTGTAAACATGTTAGCAGTCAACCAAACAGCAACATCAACAACAGCCGCAAGCAGCGCTTGAGCAGTGCTGCAGCAGCAAATATGTTTATGGCTATAACTTCTTGTTAAATCGGTCTATCATGATGGAACTTGGCGTACGGACACATAATAACTAACTGGGGGTATTTGAAAAATTTTAGTTCGAAATTTCAAGAATAACGGGAGTTAGAGAAAATCGTAATTTGCGGGGGAGAGGGGGGTGGGAGGGAAATTCCAGAATACGCATTTTCTGCGTATTCATACAAGGCATCTTGGACTAAAATTTGGTGCTCCTAGGTCTTATAGTCTCCGAGATATAGGCGATTATACGAACGGCGTTACGGAAAAACCCTCATAGGGAGGAAGTGGAGGAAAAATCAAAAAAATAGAACAAACTCGTATAGCGTACACACATAACGCATCTTTGTGCAAAGTTTGGTGTCTCTAGCTCTTCTAGTCTCTGAGATCCAGGTGTTCATACGGACGGACAGACTGACAGACGGACAGACAGACAGACAGGGCTAGATCGACTCGTCTTGTCATGCTGATCAAAAATATATATACTTTGTGGGGTCTGCCACGCCTCCTTCTGCCTGTTACATTTTTCACTTCCCGCAAACCTAATATACTCTTGTACATTTCATGTACAGAGTATAAATATGCCAGCTCGAAAAAAATAGTACTGCTGTGGGTGATGAAGTAATTTTTCCAACCTTGATAAGTATATTTGCCGACCAATCGGGCAGAGTAAGCGTACCGTTAAATGCATGTTCATATTAAAAAGGCATTAAATGTGATTCGAGTGTAATCATCCGGAATTGTCATAATATTCAAAAATAGCCACAATTAATAAATACAACTTTGTTAGTTTTGGGTATACATATATTCCCGATCGGTGATGAATGCGCACTTAATAAAAGTTTGCCGACATGGCAAGAACGAACTTTCTGATACTATTCGGCTCATTTACACTATTTTATGTAAGTATGAAACTTTAGATGCAAATATCAACATAATACATCTTACGAATTCAGGTCTACCAGTTGATTTTCGTGGTTCAGGGAAAATTGGAGTTTACGAATATCAAGTGTGAAGTAATCGATAAAAAGTTCTGTGTATTCCAGCACTGTTTCCTTAAATCAGTGAATCGCACATACAAATATTTCTCGGTTCATGTGCATTTTTTGCAACCACCAGTGCATAGTGGATCGGTAAAGTAATTCTGTATTTCAAATATCCATCAGCTAAATAACATGTGATATTTCTATGGGAAAAGGTTAATTTCGTGCTATACAAACGTTCTAATGGTCTTAGGCCATTCCTCTTCAACTATACCATGGATGTATGCAAATTTCTGGACAACAGAACGAATCCAGCATCTCAATATTTTTATAGTTTAGTCAAAGACTACACAAATGTTAATCACACCTGTCCATACGATGTGAGTATGTCTGTGGCTATCCAAAAGTATCAATTCTCAAGGTTGTCCAAACTTTCAAATTTCAGCACGATGTGGTGAACTGGTGGAACAAGAAACTGACAATATCCATGCCCGTTCCAACTGGAAGGTATTTACTGAAGACTCTATGGATATCTAAGGGCATACTACGTGCGGAAGTCTTTAATTATTTCACATTAACAGATTAGATTTATCATCTGAATTTGAAGTACTATATGTATGGTTAGTCTGGTCGATAGATAATGCACGTATAAAACAAGAAATGCGATTTTTCTGCAAAAAAATAAATATTATCTGTCATCTTTGGCTTTGTTTTAAAATTCTGTCTGATCGTAAACAACCCTTGAAAACGGAAAATTGAAAGTACTATACTATATATAGTATATTGGTATATGTTAGTGAGCTAGGTAGGTTCCCATAACGAAACGTTTCAACTATAGTTTTTATTGTTGTTTTCTTTCTAAAAATTTAAAAATCTTCCTCTAACTTGGCGCCTAATATGTATGAATATTCAAACGCTCTTTAACTTGCAAAATGGATTTTGTGCTACCTAACATATCCATTATGTTAGAGCTATTTATGGATATCTTATTATTGTGTTAATTTATTTCAGTAGACCAGAGAGGAAAAAACCGAATACATACTTGTATAATAAATAAAGACCAAATCTTAAATGCCCCGCCGACACTTGCACAAATGAAACTTAGCTTAGCGCGTGCAGAAAAAAAAAATAAATAAATAAATTGAAAACCGGCCAAGATCAGTAGACAATGCTTGTTTGTTAGCTTGACTGGAAGATTTTTGCAGACATAAATCTCAAGAGATACAGACAGGCCAACCAGACAGCCAGACAGACAGAAAGACAGACAGCTGGCCAGTCAGCCGGTGGCAAAGCAGGCTGCCACAAACAAAGCTGCAGCCACAGCCACAGCCACAACCACAGACACTGACAATCAAACCCACTATACGGGTATACAATAAATTTACTTCTATCGAGCGCTTTAGACATTCGTTTTGCATACCCTAATCAATTTCTGGCCATTACAGAATGAATATCTTCAATTTTGTGGTCAACATTTAATTGGATGAGTGTAGATCAGTCTGTTTATTTTTCTCATAAACCGATTTAGGTCACTAATCAAAACAATTGAGCGAAAACAACAACGAGAGGAGTTCAGTATAAAAATAAAAGGAGACAACTCTCACAAGAAGAAAAGAGTATTTGCGCTTCAGTGCAACGAATTCGTATTTTTCTTTTATTTATTTATTACCTTTTTTAATTTAAAATTTTAAAGTTAAATGCTTTGCGACTGTCTTTGCAACTGACAAAAAAAAAAAAAAAAGAAACAGCCATGCATACGAGTATATATCTATAGTATATACTTGTATATAAAAGCACACTGGACTTATAAGTAGGTATGTGGTTCCCCAATATGAGTGCCTCAACTTTTTATAACATAATCAAATAATTACAAATACTCAAGTCTTTTTGTTCGAAGTGATTTATTATGTGTGATCATTGATTTATGTATATTAAGTGTAATATTCGTTGAATATTCAACGATAGTTTGCGAGTTAGAAATGTCTGCTCGTTAGAAACCGGTTAAATATTTAGATTAATTTAGTAATCGTGATAGTGTTCTTATTTTTCAATCTGATTATTTTTCATTTTTTGTGAACAAAACTAGCGAAACATAAACACAAAGTGTATATCTAGCAGAAATGACTAGGCTTTCGAAAAAAAGTATATCCTTTTATAAAACCCAGCGGGACCCTATTTAATAAAACTTGAAAATGCGGTAAAAACGGAGAATTTTAAATTAAATAGAAACTATTGTCATCAGAAAATGTACCCTAGAAGAAATAACAAGCCTCACATGGTATGTCTTAAATGATTTGAGAACTATTATTATCTCAATTGTTGGTTATGGTTTTATTTATTTATATTTTTTTTTGTTTAATGTATGGATAGCTGGAAATTCTTTGCATGCGATCCTCAAATTTAAAATATTTTTGGAAATCAGCCTCTAAACGCTAACGGAAAAGTTTTGTTTCCGGCCAAAATTGTTGTTAATTTTTTTTTCAAATATCACGACTTCCCCTTTGCGAACATTTAGAAATTTGTTTATATGCCTTAAGGGCTACAGCGATTCTAAATCTAATCTGCTGATCGATATATCAAATATTTGTCTGTACGAATTTATTTCTCCATTATTTGAGATAATCTGAGACAATTTAAGAACGGTTTTTGCTCGATTTCTTTTTAATACAAACAAGTACAGATTTAAGTTAATAGCGATCTGTTTCATATTATGCGTGTTTTAAATGTATATGTTCATTTTGATCAAGTGGAGTTATATATATTTAGAAACGAAGGAAATATTACGGGTGTTTAATTTAATTTTTAATTTTTTTATTACATTTTCTTTATATATACAACTTTCCGAATGAAACCAGTCACGAAATTTACAATACCTATGTGAGACATAAAGTTATTTTTTCGACAAACGCCTAATATGGTGCGACAAGCAAATAATTAGCACACAAACTTATCGAATATTAAAAGTTTTCAATATATTTTTTCTGAACCAAAAAAATACTATATTAGTTAAATAAATTTGTAAGGAACAACAAACTTTTTTGGTTCTTACATTTCAAAGTAAACTCGAGTATTTGACAAATTTGTGTGCAAATTATTTGCTTGCCAGACCTTAAAAATATGAGAAAAATTAAGTAATTTAATGAATTACCGGCTTGGTTGATTATATTACCAAATTATTTATGAAGTACTGCTATGACGGAATTGGAATGAAATGAAAGTCCAATTTTTGAGGAAAACAGAATAATTATAGGAAGAGAATCAATGTCAGTAGAACCCTATTGTTTCTATTTATTTTGGACACATTCTTACATACAACATACTATATCGAAAGCCTGATCCAAGCGTCTGTTTGTCTGTCTGTTTGTCTTGCTGTGTCTTTCTGTCTTTCTTCTGCTTACATGCTTACGAGTATTTTGTTTATCGCGCCGTTGTCTCGAGAAGCCGAAACAGTCCGAAACCAGTTCTCAAGTTGGAGTTCTAATTGCGTAGAACTTTAAGTACAATACATTAAAATCTAATTGACAGACAGACTGGCAATCACGGAGGCACAGGCACTGGCACTGGCACTGGCGTTGGCGTCGTCTCGCACTTGGTACGATGATGCTGGAATTTATTATACACATACATACATACTCGTATATATAGTATGTTCATATGTATAGTATGTGCTTGCGTGTGTGTGTTGTATAAGCTTGCAAAATTACGTAAGCGTAATAAGCGCACTTGTCGAGCAGCCGCCGAGTGGTGGCATTAAGTAATTGTTTTGGGCCAGAACATTACACACACACACACACACACAGATACACACACCAACACTCACACACAGATACACACAAACTTCACACCCTCCGCAAGCTGCTCGCTTGTTATTAGAATTTGTATTGCGACTAATTTGATTTGTGTATGAAGCGCCTCGAATGTAATTAGAGCCATCATTCGGGCGGTAACTACGACTATAGTATAGGCGTACTTACATAATGTATAGACGCATATTGTCGCCAATTTGTTCTCAGATATTGGTTACACTCCATGTACATACTACTATATTACACACATAGCAACGTTTTAGCACTTCAAATGCAGAGCAACTAGTTGTAGTTAGTTATAGAATGGAGGTTTAACGTACCGCCCTCTAATTCTAAACCATGGTGTTTAAGCTTAAGGTTCTATATCTGGCCCTCATTGGTATCGTTGTCTGGGGTGTCGCGGATGAATATTTTATAAAACTTAGACCGGTGCCTTGCACATCTGTGCAGCTGTTGGGCATTAAAATGAGAAACGTATCAAGACTTTCGAATATCACGCATCTGTTGGAAGCATCTTCTGTCCTTTCTTTGAGACGAGTTGTGGGCAGTAAGAATCACAAATTAGTACGTTCTTATATTGTACAGTCCCTGAGGGATCTCAACTGGCACGTCGAGCTGGACTCGTTTACCGAGCAGACGCCCAAACTGGGTCCGATCAGGTTTCATAATATCATAGCCAAACTTAATCCGAATGCGGACCGCTATCTGATGCTCGCCTGCCACTACGACAGCAAATATTTTAAAAACATCAAGTTTGTGGGCACCTCGGACTCGGCTGTACCTTGCGCGATGCTACTTAATCTGGCCCTGGTACTGAAGGAGTTCTTGAAGGATCTGCAAGAAGCCAGTATTAGCCTGATGTTCGTGTTCTTCGATGGCGAGGAAGCAATAGAGGAGTGGACCGCCACGGATTCATTGTATGGGTCGCGCCACTTGGCTCGTGTGTGGGAGGAACAGGGTTTCTTGTATCGTATTGATATGTTGGTGCTGTTGGATCTAATTGGCACATCAGATGTGCACTTCAACCACTTAATAGAGGAAACAACCAATTGGTATAAATATCTGATGCAGATCGAGAACGATTTTAGTCGTTTGGGAATACTTCCTCCACATAAGGCCTATTTCAGCATAGAACGCGTCAGCGATCCAGAAGACGACCATAAACCCTTCCTCGAGCGTAATGTTCCCGTCCTTCATTTGATCTCAACGCCATATCCATCAGTTTGGCACACTCAACACGACGATATATCAAGGACGAACTTCGATGTCACTGAACACATTGGCAAGATTATCCGATTTTTCGTTTTGCAATATTTCAAGCTGTTGTAGGTTACTTTCATTAATTAAATGTTTACTACTTGTATGTATTAACGAGCTACGAAGTTATTTTCGTTTGTTTGGAAGCCTATGCCCTACAATAAAACCTATATTTCCATCTTGCACGAAATACCCAATAGTGGTACCAACTTTCAGTTTACGTGTAGTTTTGGATCAAATTTAAAGCCGAGAAAAATGAGAAATATCTCCCTACATACCAAGTTATATCTTCGGGGCTAAACAGTTTTTAAGTCCGGTTATCTGACGGTTGGACGGACAGAAGGAAATGGCTACTATCCCTTTAATGTAAAATATACTATATATACTACTAAAAGTATACAAGTATATATACAATGGTACAATAAATTAGTTAGTGGGTAATACTATATATATATATGGCGAAGGATAGGCCTACGAAATGGTCTTACAAATTTTCGCCTTTTTGTCCTTAGTATTCAGATTGTGGAGATCATTAGAACGGTATTAATGATTCTGAAGTTTCTTACGCGTTCAATAGCAGTCGAGGCCAGTACTATAGTGCCTTGGATGTGTGATTATTCGCTTAACCAAGTGATATGATGTCTCATCGGTGTGTTAGAGAGCCGATGTTTCAGAATGCACTGACTAGTTTGCCTGGATGGTTGTCAGGTGATACTCAGTTACTAATCTAATCCTTAGTCTAAAGACTTTTCTTTGAACCTGAGGCTGTTATATCATATTTATCCTATCGTTTTGGGGCTTCCACAGACGGTTTTATGAGGTCACTGTATATTATCTTTATGATCTAGTTCAGTTCCGTTTATTTGTAGACTTAATCATGGAACTGCAAGAAGTTTGTAATGCCTTGGTTGTTCAAAAAAGATTACAAAGACTGGCACTTCCTGATTGCTATTTTTCAGAAAAGAGTTCAGTTGATTTTGAGGGGGCATATATAACAGTAACTTCTAAATCTTGCTGAAGTTAATGAAAATCCTGCAAGAAGCCTTTAATGAAGCAATCCTAAGATCGGCACTTGCTTATTTACAGTAAAGTGCTTAGTCTAGTTTCATAGGCATACATAGCTTATTGTACTTTCGAAAGTCTAGTACTTTCTAAACATTTCTAGAGTTAAAATAAAGAATTGGTTAATGCTCTTGCTGATAGAAATCTTTGTTCTATTTCGATTCGATTTTCCAGTTAGCGTTATCCATTTCTAGTTTCAATCGACAAATACTTTCTAAAGACCCCACGAATCTTAGTTGTATGTATCGGGCTTCCTGATCTGCACACGGGATGTCTTCACATGCAGTTGAAGCTGTGGAAACGTTCCCCACCACGTCGCCACCAAAGTCTTCCAACTGCTGACCTGACCAACTGCGGATCGGACCCAGACGCGAGTCCATGGCACAGCATTAAGATTGAGTTAAAGATATGGGGCGGCTAACACGCGTCCGTCGTCCGTCGCAGTGCTGGTTTGATTTTTTTGCCGTTTGTTTTGCTGTTGCGCGATCGGCATCATCGGCTTGGCTGCTGGAGGCATACAAAAAAAAAAAAAAAAGGTGGTTCGGTTCGTTGGATGGTTGTGGCTGCGGCAGAGTGCGGGCGGACGTGTGTGTTTCTCTGTGTGTGTGTGAATGTGTATATGTGTGTGTGTGCTGCTTATATTTTTCGAAGGTGCGGCCGTCGTTGTCTTCGTCGTCAGTTACGTTGCTGTTGTTGTTGTTGTTATTATAGCCGATATACCTTAGTTGTTGTTGCTTTCTGTTTTCTGTTTTCTGTTTTTTGTTTTTTCTCTTTGCTTTTTGTTTGCTGTGGTTAGCGTTGACTTGAACAACAAACTTGGCTTATGGTCGACATTGTGTTATTTTTTTTATTATTACTTATATTGCTGCTGCTGTTGTTGTTGTAATGGCCGCAGCATGCGTTTTGATTGCAGTCGCAGAGCGCAGGCGCACTGTTCGTTTCGTTCGATGCCGTTGTTGTTGTTGCTGTTGTTGCCTTTTTTTCATGCCATTTAAGTCTTATTTATGGTTCTCGTTGATGATCGTGTTGATGGTCGTACTTTTTTTCCTCCACTTTGTTGTTATTGTTGTTGCTTTGTTTTTCAGCATTTTTCTCCGTCCTCTTCTTCTTCTTCTTCTTCATCATCTACATGGTTGATTTTTTAACCTTTTCGTTGCGCTACAATAAAAGGGGTTATTTTTGGCAGACAATCAGCATCCATTGTATGAATAAGGCAGTTATGGTAGAAAATTCATTTCACATTGGACAGGTAGCTCATAAATATATACATACATATGTACATTATGGTGTGCATGTATGGTTATGTACATCTATATACACATCTAGAGAAGCAAATGATCTAAAATTGTATGTATGTAAGATGTTTAAAGTTAGCTTAAGCAAAGAAGTTAAAAGTACCTACATACATACGTACGAATATAATTTTTTTAAAATAACGATACAGTGGAATTTCAAGCCCTCCGTAGAAAGGTGCTGGTGACGAAAAGACTTCCCTGGTTTGTCATTTAACCGACCTTTTTGAACTGAACTAAACGCATCATTACAAAGTTATCGCAAAAAACTCATACATAAATACCAAATTTGCGACGTCGATATACAAGTATAAAACGATATAAGATGCGCGAAATAATTAACAGGACACTACGTTTCTTAGTTTTACAAATGAACCGTTCAATATATTTTCAAAAAATAAATTATTGCTGAAACCTAATTATATTATCAATAGACTTCAAGTTAAATAAAGCAAATAAAACTTAAGAAAATATAATTAAAATATTAATTGTACATTACAAATTACAAATTATATATACGAGTATTTGTATATGCATGACTAAAAGCGTTTCAGCACTGATCGTTCCTATAAGTAGTATAAGCACATATACATAAAAAATAAAAATAAATATTAGTTGGTAATATTTGAATTCCAGAGGACCCCTTTTAATGGATAGTTAATTAGCAGTATAAAAATGGAAACTAATGAACTTTTCAACACTGGACATATCAATAATCGTTCAGAAATATAAAATAAAATAAAGCTTATTTGAAACTCAACAGGTTTACTTTAAAAAGTACTTACTTATAGGAACTACAAAGTTGTAGTGTAACGTAAGAGACTTTAGAAAATAAAACCGCAACACAACAATGGAATCTTTCATTCCGAGTACTACACGCATCTACATCTAAATATATTTGAGATAGATGTAATGTAATGCTTTCTTTAATATCGGATTTCAACCTTCTGTATTCCTTTTTCCATTACCCCTTTTTATGGTTGCTTAGCAATCGACTTTATTTCCAGCTTATCTGCATTTTCGTAAGATTTAACTCTGATTGGGTATTAAAGATCTCTTTAGCTGTGTGAAGGGAGAGCATTCGTGCTGTCTTCTTGTCCCGTACACCCACTCCACTCCACTCCACCCCACTTCCTTCCTTCCTTACTTAACTTCCACTTTGATGCTTGACTTTTAACCTTTTTTTTAATGTTGGTGTCGAGTTTATTTTCACCATTTGTTTGTTTTCGTTTTCGCTTTTTGTGCGCGAATGCATCGAAAGGCAATTTTATTTTTGCTGCAACAATAATTTTTTTTACAATTTTGTTTTTGTTTTCCTTTTTTATGGCTCGTCGATATTTTTTTCGACTGCGAAATGGGTTTGTGTCGGGGCATTGGGGTTTGGGACTTGGGGCTTGAGGCTGGCACGGTAGTCCGTTTTGGACTTGCGCTCAGGTTGTTGTTGTGTTTTTATTTTTATTTTATTGTAAACTTTTCGTTGTCGATGTTGTTGTTGTTGCTGTTGTTGTTGGGGTCTCTTTGGCTGCAATCGCAGGAAATCAATTATAAAAAAACCTTTTGCTGTTCGGCTTCACTGGCCACGTTAATTCGTGAAAAATGTTTTTTGTTTTCTTTTCTCGCTGCCAAGCATTTCAAAGAGTTTTCTTTGTTATTATTATTTTTTTCGCTTTTCGTTTCTCGTTTTTTGTGTTTGAAAGTGTTGGGCTTAGAGCTTGGGTCGCGGGCATGACCACTCGGTCTTTGAATATAATGGGCAGCAGCAACAACAACGACAACAACGACAACAACAACAACAACAATCCGAGGCACGGCAACTGGCAAAGGATTTTGTGTGCAGCAGCGGAAAAAGTGCAATAAATTTTGGTCGTAGTATGCATTTTGTTTGCTGTCGATTTCGTTCAATGATTTCTTTATATTGTTCATTGTTCATTTGTTCATTTATGTCGACCGGCAACTGAGGACCAACGACCTTTATTTACGACTCTGCTCCGCTCTGCGCTGTCTTTGTAATGCGTTTTAAATTCAGGAAGTTGCAGTTTATGTTTCTCCATTGCCTTCGCCTTTGCCTCCACCTCCACATCCACATCCACATCCAGCTCTGCCGCCTTCGCCATCACCATCGCCATCGCCTTCAACTTCAACTCCAACTTTGCCTTCGTCTGGCTGCAGTTTTTCCGCTTCATTGCTGCAGGGGTGTGCGATGGTAATAAGCATTAATTAAGATGAGACATGGCAGTTGCTAGTTGCCAGTTGTACGAGCCCAGACCCGAACCCAAGCCCGAGCCCGAGCCCGAGTCCGAACCCGGACCCGGACCATGGCAATCTTGTCGCACTTAACTGGTAAGTGGAAATGGGACAAATGATCTTGCGTGTAACATGCCAGCACATGCGGGCCAATTTGGCGTTGGCGTTGGCGTTGTTTTCTGTCGACATCTTCAATTGGGACAATGGCAGCCATTTAATTTTGCTGCCGTTCTGGCGACTTACAATTACATTTCCACAGTTACATACAAATGATTCCATACGCACAAATATATACAAGTAGTATGTACTTGTATGTATGTATGTGGCTCTCCATGCTCATAATTACGATTGGTATCTTGATCTCATTTTGGTTTTGAACGCTTTTTCACAATTACTTTGTCAAACGTTTTCATTTCAACTTAATTTTTGACTGAATGACTTCTTTATATGTCATTGTATTTATTCGATTGTTATTGTTAAGCCCCAAAAGTTGCGTCATTCGATACTCCCTGAAATATCAACAATCTTTCACTACTGTATCTTGATGACGAAATCCGTTAGAATATTTATTTACTTTGGAATGAAGAGAAAT